TAAACTAGAATTCAGAAGAGACCTTGCCGTCACATGCATCAGAAGATATAAGACAACTGTCAAATCTGTGGGTCCAACAGCTCTGCCATCGAAGAGGTCAACACAAGTTTTGGACAACATTCCTTATGATCAAGCTGATCATCTACGTGGAAAAGTAGAAAAAAAAAGAAGAGGTGTGCAAATGATGAATGCAAAAGTATTGTTGAGTCAATGTGCTTGAAATGTGATGTTGGTTTGTGCTTGAAATGCAATATACTGTTTTGTGCTGTTTAACATCATAAAACTTTTTAAAAGAACTAAATAGGGAAGTGTAATTTGTTTGCTATTGATATTATGGTCATTATAATGAATTGTATTGAATCATTGGATTGTATTGAATAAGTGCTTGTGTTTGGCAAATAAAAGTTTGCCTTGTTAAATATTTTCTCTCTTTCAGCAAAGGATGATTATTACCTCTGAAGAACGAGTGTCACAAATACGTCTTACCCTCCCACTCCTCACTGAAATGTGGAATATTTTTTAAAACATTTTTTAGGACTTAAATTTCAGCAATTGGATTAAAAGAAATAAAGAAATCAATTTTTTTAAATAAAAATTAATTCTCGTCCTTGGAGGGTTAATGTCCATAAAATCTGCTATGTCCTGCAAATCATAAAACCATTTTAACATTTTACCTTTACTCAATCACATCACTTCACAATAATAAGACACATCGTCATACTCCAAAAATGTATATGCCAAATACTCGTTAAATTGGCTGTGATGAAGTGTATGTGACTTAATAAAGTTAATACTAGCTACTACAACTTCTATAACATTCACGATTTCAATTGATTTTGTTCTCATAATTTGTTGATGGATAATGTTATGTTGTTAAGTTTTCCAGATGAAACTATAGTTCTTTTGCAGTCATGAACAATTCCAGTAAGTGCCATTCTAGCACCTATCATTGCATGTCAGAAAATAAACTGCATTTGAGCCCAAATCTTTGGGAGACTTGTTTCAAATAAGTCTTCACCAGTAGTTGTTTCTTTCAATGGCTCAAGAGGTAATAATTCTTCTGTGATGTTAACATCTGCATCAACTAGAATAAAAATTGCGAGTTGCGCAGTATTAGAAGCATTGGTGGCAATTGAAAATGCTTAAAATTTAGTTATTTTGTCTTGTAAAGCTTTTTTCATATCAATAGAGGCCGGAAAAATATGTAGTATGAAACCTCAAAATACGTACAAAAATATGTAGTGAAAACAGTACGAATGTGTAATAAATATGTAAAGTTGGACATAATATTAAAATACACTAATTAGTATAAAACACATTCCCATAATACAAAATTGCATTTATAAAATATTTCCTAAATGAATTTAAAAACTCATTTGGAGACCATAAGTTGATGCTTACTTTGCACAGTACTACTTTCCCCCCAGTAGTAAAAGCTTCATCTATTGCTATCTAGTACCACAGTTTAGTAACCAGACTACTTGCAATAGGAGCCATGATACAAACTGGCTACTACCACCAGCAAACAATCACTGCAGTGTGCAGCACTCTAATCGAAGAGTTAATTATAGTATTTATTATGTTTAGACACTTTGGTCATCACTTAAGTTCCTTAATAATTAAGGTTAAAGGTCACGAATCGTGGGATCAATGATACTTTTCACATCTAAAGGTGAAAATTATCTCAGTCGCTGACGCAGTTTCCATCACTGAGATAACTGAAACAGGCACGCCGGACTGTGAGAACATCTGACTGTCTTCAAATAGAGTAACTCGAGTAGAGTGCATGCAATAATAACGTAGGGAAAAAATGATTTCTTTGAAAATACTTCTTTTCATAAAAAAATATGTAACAAAATTGAAGAAAATTGAAAGAATAATAATTATTTTGTGAAAATAGCAAAATATGTAATATAGTGCTATGTAAAAATGTGTAATGAAAAAATTGGATACTGTGATAGGATGTAGACGATTCGCCAATATTACAATTATGAAAACTGTAAAAAGAAAGACAGAAAAATGTAATCACATGAAAATCCGGTCTCTAATCACCAGCCATCATTTCTATTCGTCGGAGCCGCTAGCCGAAGATAGAAGACAAACGGGTGCCGGATTGAAGGGGCGGGGGTTGCCCACGTGTGCTGTAAATTGTTCATCCATGGAGGACAGGGCCAGAGGGCCGTTCTGTGCGCTCTCTTGCATCGGTGCGGCGGTCGTCCGCCAATTTAAATCGCGCGCTCGGAAGTAACGAGAAAGTAAGATTTTCTAGGAAACGCGAATTTGCGCAGAAAAATGAAATGGGCGCAGCGAAATTCTGGTATTTGATTGTGCTATTCTGATATACTGGATTTGTTTGCTTGTATGCCTAGAATCTGAAGATGGAGAGCGTCAGTTTAAAAATGTAAACAATAAAAGAAAAGGTGATTGTTGAAAAAATATATGGACCTTTCAATGATACAAAGAACTTAATTAAAGACAATCTAAACAATAAAATTCAAATACTACGGAATTCGTGTCAGGCCATGGAGCTATGTACATAGTTTGTTCAAAAAATACGTGGACTGTTTGAACTGCGCGTCTCCAGTTGGTTCCAAGGGAATCCGCTTGATGTCGCTAGGTTTGCTCAGATCTGCTGATTGTGACGCTATTTTCGATTGTTGATATCTTCATTTGTTTATTATCTATATGGTTTTTAGTGCAGTGCGCTTTTGTCGTACAGAGGATTTGAAAATAAATAACCTGAAAGAGCAATGAGTTGCTGTAAAATTTTGTGTTCAACTAGAAAAATCTGCGACAAACTTTCGTTATGCTTAACGCAGCTTATGGGGATGTTGCTATGAAACGTACGGCATATTTCAAATGGCATGCACGTTTTAAAGATGGTCGACAGTCCATTGAAGATGAGCGTCCTGGACGTCCTTCTTCGTCAACTGACGACCCACACGTCGACAAAATCAACAATGTTGTCTGTCAGGGAGCTTTCTAAAGAGTGTGGAATTTCAGCTGGAACTTGTCATGAGGTTTTAATTGAGAAATTGAAGAAGCACAGTGTCTCTGGGAACTTTGTGACACTCCTGATGACGGAGGTACAAAAATTCCATTGTGTCCAACTTTGTCAAGAGCTGCCTGATCGTTTAGAAGAAGATAAAAACTTATTGTCAAAGATCGTAACCGGTGATGAATCATGGGTTTTTGGCTATGACACTGTAACAAAGGTCCAACTGACCCAGACGACCCCCAAAAGCTCATACTGTTCGGTTCGATGTCAAGATGATACTGATAGTTTCTTTTTATTCTAAGGATGTTTTTCTTCCACGAGTATCTTCCAGAAGGTTCCACAGAGAACGAAAATTACTATATTGAAGTTCTGAAACGTCTGAGGGACGCCATCCATCGGAGAAGTCCAGAAATGTGGAGGAGTGGCGACGGTTTTTCCATCATTACAACGCTCCAGTCCATTCAGAACTCAGAACTCGTGAGTTTTGGTCAAACACACGATCATTGTTCTTACCCCCCCCCTACTCACCTGACCTTGCTCCTTGTGACTTGTTCTTCAAAGGAAGAGACGATTCCCGACATTATAGCAAATGCGACGAAGGAGCTGAGAGAAATTACAAAATAAGCGTAGCAGGACCGTTTCATCAAGTGTTCACCGTTGGGTGTTGGGGAAGAGAGTACTTTGAAGGGAATCCAGACCTTTAACTTGTAAGTAAAGTATATTTTGTTTTATGACGACAGTCCATGTATTTTTTGAACACCTCTCGTATTCAAAGCTACAGCTTCGTGGGCCAGGCGGAAGAGCGGACCTGACGGTGTGAGCCTCGCTAAGTAAAATGAGGCAACTGAATTGAAATGAGTTGACGCTGAGGCAACAAGTGTTAACATCGTGCAGAACTGGGAAATTCTGCATCGAAAAGCATTGACACCTGCTTTTGTGATCCTAAAGGAACACAAGCTAAATTTCTTATGCCGAGATCGGTAAATACGAAATGTTTGGATCTCTTATTAGACATTGGGAAGTTTTGCTCTTTTGAGTGCCATAACAAAGGTAGTCAAACACTCAAAATCTGGAATTTTTAAATTTTATTTTGATTTTAAAAATCTAATATGATCTCAATCTATCTAAAATTAAATTTACTGTTAAACGTTTGGTTCAATTTTATCATCTGAGTTTCTATTCCAAATTCCTCTCTTTGTTAAGAGCAATATTAGAATGGCCATTGAGTAAAGGATGGCTGTCTCCTGTATGATTTAATGTTCAGGGTCTGGCCATTCAAAAGTTGGGTTCCAGTATGAAGCTATTCTTACATTTAAAACAACTGTATTTAAAATGTGTAGAAAGTTTGCATGGGTGGGCATAAATAGTAAGTTATATAATTAATAAAATAATTTATGGCCAATCAGATTGCCGAAACTACTAAGGCAGTATTGTGGTTTCAGCCCAGAAGATTGCAGGTTCGAGTCCCACCTCGAGCGTGTGTGTTGTCCTTTCACCCCTCACTATCATCATCATCATCATCATACGATTATTTCGTCTCCCATACCCCCAGGGCAAACAACCCTGGGGGATAAAAATTGGATTGAGCGAAAAGGCTAATCTCATGATAAATTACATGCACCTGCTACATAGATAGTATTACGGAGCCTTGGTAAATGCAGGGTGCATGCACACGTGGTCCAAGTCGGCCTATTCACAACAACAAAAAAAAAAAACTTATTTATGTTTTTTGACTTACTTTCTTTAATTTGGAATGCATTGTTGTCTTTGTAAAGGACATAATAAACTTTTTTAATACTATAAATATTAAAAAATAAAAATAAATATCAGAATGATTATGATTGAACTAACATTTCCCTCCTACTCAATGAAACACAGCATTACATGGCCTCAATTTCCAAAAACACAATAATGAGATATGTCACAATTAATTGGTTAAGAAATATTACTGAAATGTCTCAGTAATCCATATTTCAACAACTAGTGAACAAAGAAAGAAATATCCTATGAGTCAATGTCAATTCTTATAATTTTTACTGGTACTATGAAATGAAGGAATCAGGAAATTAATATACAATTTTTGGAACCAAAAATGAATACAAAAGGAACAACTTATTGAACCAGAGGTTTGAATAATTCAGACACATTTTTGCCAAGTGTTATGTTTGACATGTTTAAGAAAAGATATGTCAAGGAAAAGTGAAACAATGAGTCAAAACGAAATTCTAAAATGAATGTTATTAAATATAATGCCACAAAAAAACCATTGATTAACTTGTGTAAAATTTAATTTGAAATATTGGTCATAATTTCTATACCTGGATTTTTTAATTTTCCCCACAATAAATTACAACATTTAGCTCTGCCACATAAGCATTTCATTCACCATTAATTGTTTCATGATTTTCATTTAATTAATTTTACAAATATAAAAAAGTATTGAAAATAGAGGCTCCATTTGTCTTTTGTTTTTCTCTCAGATATGTTCATACCACTTAGAAGATTTGGTGTTCAGAGAGCAGACTCTTCCCTAAGTGAATTTTTTTGTAATGCAAAATGAATTTCATTGACCACGTGAAGTTACAGAGCCATTGATGCGTTGAAATTTGTTTTACTTATCTCACAATGTACATGGAGGTACTGAATGATTTTATTGTCAATGTATGAATTTCTCATTCCATTCAGAATTAAACAGTTTATTTCTCTTTTCTGGATTCGTCCTCATTGGAATGGAAGCCACAATATTAATTAGAATTTAATAATGTATTACTAACCTTTTTAAAAACCAGTGAGCCCTTATTTACAATTGATACATGTTTTAATAGTAAAACTGGACAACTAATTTTATTACAAGGTGCCACAAATAATAGAAACAGGTCTGTGACTATGAGTCCAAAACTTGAGGTGTCGGTAAAGCAAAATTGGTCACAGGTTTGACAGCTGGTAAAGATCAATAACAAAATATTTTCTCATGATTTATATGACTATGTATTAATAAAAAGGTAGTACTAAAATGGTAATTTAAAATTACTATGAATGTACAAGCAGTACTACTGTATTTCCTTGCAGCATATTTTTTATTCTATACACAAAATGAAAATTACCCCTATATGGATTATAACTATAAAATTAATTAAATTATTTAGAAAAATATTTGTTTTCCTATTGAGATAAAATTTATCAGTTGTACATATGAAAAAAAAAAAAAAATGAATACTATGCCTAACATTTATGTCATCATTCTTGCAACTTTTTGAATATTAGTACAATGTTCCTGACGAAAAATATGTAAAGTCTCATAATTTTTTATGAGAAACTGTAGATATATTCCTTCTTTCTCATCCATAATTATGCTGCAAGTGAAACAATAAAACTCATTTGATTAATAATGTCCTTTCCCAATGAAGTTATATGAATTAAAGCATTATCACAACATCTCTGATTAAGTGAATTTCAAGGAACACATTTATCATATTACTAGCTAGAGTATTATTGCTTACATACTGGGAAATACATTATTGAAACAATTTTTTTTTTTACAGGAATTCAGAAAAAATATGTGACATAAAGATAGGTTCACACAAAGTTGCTACAATGATTTATAACATTATAAACAATAATAATACTTTTACATCTATACTGATGTAAGACACCTTAAAGATTTTCTGTGGACTAGTCACACCTGAGTTCTAATTTTAATTACCCAACAAATATATATGTTTCACTTTAACTTTTAAACGTAATTGTAAAACACTTGCATTTCACAGTAAAAGCATCTAAATAAGAATATCTGGATGAATTGCAATGTGCTCTTTCTCTTTGGATACATGCTAATTTTTTTACTGTTCCATTCACCTGGACAGGCATTTAATTATTGAGGCAGTGTTGCACTTTATCATCAGTCAGAATGTTTAAAGTGTCTGCATACACTGACAACTAGTATTATTCGATTAATTATAACATTTTATTCAATAGAATTTTGAAATTTTGAACAAAATAGGCATGCTGAACAATAATGTCCAAAAACCACACAGCTGCGTGCATATTGATCTTCCATACATGCGAGTAATTTTCATCACAATATAACAAATATCATGTGAATAGACTAATTTGCTACAGATTATGATTCAACCTTTCCAGTGGTATATATGAATATGAAAATTCAGAGAATTTTAACAGAAAATCTAATAATCCTAATTACATGATTGACGTTCAGAATTAACAAGGCTATATATGGTAACTGAGAAGAAAAATATTGAAAATATGCCACATTACCACATAAATAAATATTTTAATCTGACTACACATATTTCATAGAAACATCTTAAAAACTGCACCTGTACTCAAAATACACCAGATATAATGTCTGGAATGTGAAAATTGAGTTGTCTTTGGCAGAAATGACGTATAAGAACATGTTATAAAAAATAACAATATAAATTGATCACATGTATATGTATTGATTCATCAATTCCATTATTTAGAGGATAACAAGAAATATTTAATAAAGTATACAAACATAACAATTGGAATAAGATGGAACTAAACAAAATAAACTATTTAATTCATTCAAAGAAGTACGCAAAGAAAAAATAAAAACGGATGTACGTAATAACACACAACCTTTTTCAGTGCATTAGTGCCATCTTACACCATCTTAACAACAAATCACTGAGCTTTTTTGTAAACACACACATTAAAATATAATCACTATTTTGAGCATGTTCTCACCTCTATTTTTCTTTCACTGCCTGTTCACAGTTCCCAAGTGATGAGACTGACGCTTGTTTCCTTTAACAAGAGTTCTTGACAGTGAAAGAGCATTTAGTCTTTATGCACATACACAAAACAATAGCAGCAGAAGGAGTACTTATTGCTATATTGATCATGGATCTTAAAACTGCTCGACTCTCAATGAAGTTTCTTGCAGTCACCGTTTTGTAACATTGCATGTTCTATTCCATTCATGTAACCATTTGCCACATGCATTTGGGATCGACTATTACCTTCAAAAACTTTACTTCCCTGAAAAGAAAATTATACTGTGCAGACACTTGTATAAACAGATTAATACAACAAAAGAAAGCACACTGAATACATTGTCACACTCTCTTTAGAAACTTTTTGACCAGAACTGGTTCCATATAAAAAACAAATTGGTTAACTGTTGTATAATTTGAAAACAACAAACACAGCTAATTGAGACAATAAACATTTCTTGTTTGATGAAGAATTATTTTCCGCAATATTGCATTACAATACGAAAATATACAAATTCTGATATTGCTGCAATCACTGTTCATTTTCTCAATGTGCTATGTAATTGAAAAATTTATTTCCTTTCCAGGAAGGGTTTCCACATTCTTGTGATTATCAGGAAACTGAAGTTGTAAAAAAAAAAAAAAACAAAACAAAAAACTATATGTTTACAGGCCAATAAAAAGAGATCGACAATTTAAGAACAGAATTTCAATTATTTATATATCTTTCCGAAATAGTCTCTTATGTTATATTATTACTATAATTAGAAAAGTCACTCAGTTGATAATATCATAAAATGTTCATAAAATAAAATATTCAATAAATGTATTATTAGCTATGCATTATGTTTTATATCTATGTATAACTTAGAAAACCTAGTTATAAAATATGAACTTCACTTCTGGTAGTACACCTGATTGTAAAATTATATAAGAGAGAGTAATATAATATTACGCTTAACCTACAAATGATAACTTCTAGCAGAGCTAAATCATACAAAACAAATTACATAAAAATATAACATTTTGTATAAACAGACACTTACCTTTTCTATATATGCTTTTATATAAAAGTTTCCAAACAACACAATAAATGAAATCATGTAAATCACAAGAGTATATTGCATCCAAAGAGGAAAATCACAACCACTTCGTATTCCATTAATGCCCATTATCATGGCAGTTGTAAACTGAATCTGTCAAAAAATTGAATTAAAGATTTAGGAATTACAAAAAATAGCAAGGTACACTATTACAAGTAATTAATTTTTTTGTGCTTACCAACTGAAGTATTGTCAAATATTTCTTCCACCACAAATATCTAGCTATTTTTGGACCAAAAGCTGATAGTCCATAATATGTGTACATCAAAACATGAATGAAGCTATTTGCCATTGCAGGTAAAAATGCTATAATTCAATGAAATAGAATAAAAGACAAAATTAATGTAATTTTGAGCCTCTGAAATAAGATGTGCTCAGTTCCAACATAGGACATTGTATTTATAAAACATTTAACTTGAGAAAATTAAAATAATGATCAGAAAATGATACTGGAAGTCTCATTTGTGCATTTTATATTCCGAGTCACATCTACTGGTGAACACAACCTTCATTTTTTTATGCAATAGGGAACATTTGCAAAAATATATTATCTCAGAAAACATACATTTTATTTTTAATTTTTAATGAATGTTATTTAAACATAAAATCATACAAGTTTTATAATATTAACTTACTTGAACCACTTGGTACCCATTTGATTCCTATCCACCACAATGAAAACATAGTAGAATGGTGATAAACATGCAGGAATGTGAGTTGATTGTCTTTTTTTCTTAGAATAAAGAAAAACGTGTCACAAAATTCAAGGAGTTTTGAGAAATAATACCACCATACTGCACTTGCTATCTAAAGAAAATAAATTCAATGCAAAATTTAGTATTTTTGAATACTTCATCTGATTAATATTGTCGTAAGAAATATAAGAGTTACTTACTCTTATTTCATCAGGATGCCTTAATTTTGATACAGGTTGACAAAGGTAATTGTACCTTAATTTTGTTGATGCACATAGCAACTTGAAAAAAAGAGAGATAACAATGAAATGATAATCACTTACAATTAAATGAAACCATTGTGAACATAATTTTTCCCAAATGAATTTATGCTAATACCTTTTTCGACATTTAAATTGCCCCATTTGTTTACATACCTCAACAGCAATGTACAGGTTGAGAGCCGCCATAGCCAAATTGTATGGTACAAGAGCCCATGTTAATTGAAATGGTTTCCTATTTTTCATTAGTTTAGGGCCAGCCCAAACAATTAGGAAGTATATCATTGTATAAACCAAGGTGGGAAATGGTGAATCAACTAACATCCATCCTTTTGTCCGTTGATCTACGAAATGTGAAAACCAAATAAACAAGTTATTCTCAGAAGGAGAATATTTTGAGATGTTAGGTTTACATATTTTTTAGATTTTATAGACAAACCATTAAGAGTTGTGAGACACTTCGAACAGAAAGAATAATGTTCTAATAACTGTCCATTTACATAAAATAGAGAATGTACAGAATACAACTGTAAATTGTATTATGAGAATACCAAAGTTCTCTTTAAAGAAAAAAAAACCTAAGTTTTTAAAATTTATTATTTTTATATTTTCAAGTTTCCCTGTCCCCCATCAAAATTAAAGAAATTTAAATTTGTCAAAAAGAAAAGAAATAAAACAGATATCAATTTGCTATTATAATGTTTTTTGCGACCATTGATATAATTATATAATTATAAATAAGTATTGAATTTCAATTAAGATTCCCCCCCTTAATTTACAGTACCTCACAAAAGTGACACTTAAGAAATAAGTTGTCAAGAAAACATTTAAATTATTGTCAGAATCACTTGCACATTTAAAACAAGGTTAATACAAAATTATTTTAAAAATTATATCCCACATTTTGTGTTATTTTATTTAATGTTTTATTGTTCCAAACAAATCTGAATGTTTAAAAATTTAAAATTTGAAATTTTGTTATAAAAAGACAAAAATTGTAGTTAATGCTAATGGAGTTTAGAGTCTCATGCCAAATTTTGAAAGGGATTTAAATATCAAGGGACTTTCAAGTTTGGAACTACAACAAGATGGTTCACTGAGTACCTCAGAGACACTCCACCCACCTGCCATTGCCTGAGTCCATTGATAAAAGTTGTAAAGGTCATAGATGAAGGACTGAGTAGAATTCACTACGTTTGCCATCTTTGTATTCCTCTCAATTTCTAATCTGAAATATATAATATTATAATGTTTAGTAAAAGAAAAATTAATTCTAGTACAGAGTTAAAAGACTCACAATTCAAAAATTTCTCAACAGCTGAATATAAAATGTGATTAAACCCTTTTATTCAACTTTAACTCATTGTACACTGTTACTCCTTGCAAGAGTATAAAGAGATGACATCCCCATTTGCAGCTTATTTGAAACCACTTTTGGTGAATTCATGTGCTATAATTACAGTGTTTTAAGAAATACCTATACTTTTCTTTACATAATAAAAATATAAATAAAATGGACACTTTTCTTTCATCATCATCATAATCATCATCATCATCATCATCATATACCAATAAAATTTGAATAAATTATTGAAAATATTACACACCCATTGAGAATCAAACCTACATCTCCTGGTCACTATAGAGGCGACTTAATGTGAAACAATTAAATGATAATAATAATAAATAATTTTTAAAGTACAGGCTTGCTTAAACATTTTATAACTGACATTTTCAGAGTAGTGTTGGTAAATTTGAAATTAAATTCAAATTTGTACAACTGATTTTTTGCCCTTGTATACAAAATTGAATTTTGTGTTAAGAAAAATCATTTATGAGTATGAAGATTTTCTGCATGAGGACATAAAATGCCCTAGAAAATATTTTAAATAATTATTTGAATGCGAGAACTTGATCACAGTTTTATTTCTAATTTTAAACTTTTCATATTCTGAGGCCAGTAACAAACAAAAAGTAATTTCAAAATGTTTAAGAAATGTAGAAGACTTGTAATTATCCAATGAAAAGAACAGTGCATTATTATTAATATTTTTTCTTCTAAAGGTTGTATTTAATTTCAACAAGTACTTTCCAAAAAAAAAAGAAAAAAAAATAGTTTAAAAATTCCAGAATACTTACATATATAAAAACGTTTTTCTGGTTATCCTCCAACTACAAATGCTACACTAACTATTGAAGACTGAGAGGTCCGCACAAGCTCACTGCTCACCACATAGTCACCATCATGCACAAGACCCCTGGAGGTCCCTGGAGCCCCCAAGCCTACAACCTTCCTCCCACAGATCTCCACTGTTAATGCAGCATTCCCTCCCAGCAAATGTGTATAGGGGCTACTGGCTGAGAGATTGCTCCCACCCTCTCTCCTCCTCCCACTCATTTCCTTCCCCTCTCTCTCCCTGCCCAATCTGCCCCTTTCTCAACCTTCCTCTCCCTCCCTAGGCGCTCTCCTCAGCTGCCCCCGGGCCCCTCTCTCGCCTCCCACCACCTACCTCCCCTGCCGAATATAGGTCGAAGCTCCTTTGACCCTACTTTCTGCAACTATTTTGGGTCTGGGCCAAGTCAGCCATGTCATTACGACAGGTGTGACGGGGGTTTTGTGCCAATTGCCCATCTGTCACACATGAGCAGCACCAAGTTCCTCACTAACAGTGATTTGTCATCGGATACATACGCGGACCAACTCTCTCGCACAGCACTATTGCGAGAATAAAATTACGCCCTGAAGAGTTATTCTACAATATTACACCGCATCAATCCATCTGTATTTTGGGAGTGACATTAACTTCACATCATGTATGGAAGAAGCAAAAAAATATGAAACACAATTTGCAGAGCATCGTCATAAGGTATGCAGTATTTAAAAACCAGATAACACACACACATACACACACACAAAGCACTCAAATCAGTTTGTTGAGGGTGAACGCCCAGATCTCACACAACATTATCACACGCGGATTCCCACATCTCACGTCAATCAATTACGTGGGGAGGGTCCAGGAGCAGTAAGCCGGACTGCAAACACGCCGCACTGATTCACAAGCACGTCCGTCCTCGCCGGGGCCGGGGCGGGGGCGGGGGCGAGGACGAGGGCGAGGGCGAGGGCGCGGGCCTGGGCGCCCGAAGGAAGTGTCCGGAAGGTGAGAACGGCGGCACGTGCCGTGAGGGCATACGCACCGTCTTGACCGTCGATTAGCGATGGCGGTGGCGGTGGCGGTGGCTCGGCGGCGGGCGCTGGGCGGTCAGCGGCGCATCCTGGGCGCTGCGCGGGGCGTGGGTGTGTGGCAGAGCGGCCGCGGCGGCGCCGGCGGCGCGGGGGTGATCGATACGGCCTTCTGTGACGCCACCGCCGCCACCCTGTCTGCGAGCGCGCGCGCCGCATGCCACCCGACGTGCGGCGGGGCGCCCCGCTGCAGGTGGCAGTGGACGCGACAGGGGTGGCGTTGTGCTGTGCGCCTTTTCCTCTCCGAGGCCCTGTCGCCTATTAGCTGACGGCAACGGAGCACTTTAAACGACTGGACCACTTTACCAGGTGCAAATGTACGAGAGTTCAGAATAGATCAGCTGTTCTTGATCGTCTTCGAAATGTTTTGCGTTGTCTTCTTCTTTCTTTACGATGTGGATGCGCCAAAACACGTGCGTGTGTACGTAGGTGTTTGTACGTCACGCACGTGTTTTTCCTCGGCATAGTTGAGTTTACACAGCTAGGTTACACTGAAGCATAGTAAAAGTGAGTTCGCAAGCGAGTAGTTTTCTTTTAGAAGAGCTTAAACACCTCGTGGAAACAAACCTTTAACACGCCCAAACGACGAGTGATTTAATGATCATTGCTCGTTTCGAACTTCTCTGTGATGTGACGTCGTAAAACATCCTTCCCTGTTCTTCCCACTTTATGTTCTCGCGCCATTCCGCATGACGTTTTCTCGTCAACGAAATCATTTCCTCATTTTGGACCAACCACTCACAAGTCATCTTCTGCTTACTATTTCATTCTTCTTGGCTTTCCGAGCTTCCCGTCTCAACGGATTCCGCACTTCTTTTCGCCGTCAAAATAAATTATTCGAAAGACGACTTCATTTTATCTACGGCGGATTTTCTTTCACCTGTACCTCGTTTGTCTTCAGCTTCTTACAAGGATGTGAACCGAAATGAAATAAAAGAACATAGCTACTTTTAGTCGCGATTCGAAACGAAGCACAACAAAACGTTTTTTTTACATTTTGTCTCGAAACGTAAAGAAATCTAGAATATTTTCCTTTCATTTCGAAACGAAACGCGTTAAAAAAAAACAAAACATTTTTGCTTCGTTTCGAAACCTAACAAAACAGGCAGGGACATTCTCTCGTTTACGGAAAGGAGTTGTTCGGTTCCTTTCCGTGTTCGGCCCTCGCGCGGCAGCCAGAAGCGAAGCGATCCCGGCGCAGGTGTCTCGTGGATGCTACTGCAGCGGCGTCGGCTCCGAGTCGGCGCGAGCGACGCTGCCTGCGTAAAAACCGGCGGTGAGAGAGACTCCGCGGCGAGGACTCTGCCTCCCAGCGAAAGAGGAGCCCCTGGCACAAAAAAACAGGAGACGGCGGCGCCGCGTTTCGACGGGAGACTGGCACGTGAAACTGAACAGCTAATTAACAGATCGCTACCGCAACAACGCTGCCACGGAGGGAAAAAGCCGATGGACACGACCGCCGACGATGGCAAAATCGCGTATGGCCTTTTCGGCGAAAACGTACTGTCCTCCTGAACTAACTGCTGATCAAATTAGTTGTTTTCGAAATTTTTTTCACTTTTACGAGGCACCGACCGCAGGATGTCTTCCGGAAAGAAAATAGCGCTACAGAATTCTTTCGTTGGACTCGATATTCCTTTGCTATTGCGTCAAAAAGGATTATTTATAAATTATTCATGAACTTTACGCGACGTTGACAAGGTTTCATAAGGGAGAATGATGCGCTCCGTTTCTTTCACTCGCAATAGATACTTTATAAAAAACAACTTTCTTGAATTGATTGAAATGCCTTTCTGATAAGTGGCGAAAAATCACATGCACTAAAAACGGTTTTATAATTTATACTTTATAATAAAATGAAATTATAAACCGAATGGCATTAATAAAGTAGAAAAAATATATTTGTCAATTAACGAAAACGAAAATTTTAAATATTTTAATATATTTTTACGACTACTGAGTGACCAAAATTCTGCCCTCAAGCACTCACGACTGTTATTACCTTTCTTCTATGCCACTTCGTGACAATTCGCAGTTTTTCGTATTGTTTTTGCATTCTATTTATATCCAAAAGTCTCGTCTCTCGAATGTCGACGGAAATGTTACGTGTACAACTCTCTCTTACATCCGTGTTTTCGCTTGACCTCTCCAATCCGTCGCTATTGTTATTTAAAACGGTCGTGACACCCGTCATCTTCTTTCACCACCTCGAAACCTATTTACATAAATTTTATTCTTAAGGATCTTGGAACGAAATTTGCTGACTGCGCGAGAACAGAATCTGTTTTGTACCTGGCAGATTTTTCCAATGACGCGTCCTTTTCGTTAACGACCCACGCGCGATACGATTCTTTGACGATTACGATTCGACCTAGAAGTATCGACATCTTTAAATGGAGAGCGACAATGACAAATAAAAAGGCAACGCGCGACGAACGAAAACTGAAGTTTGTGCAATAAACGTGAAAATTGCGAGGCAGGAGGTACCGTGATAATTGTAAGCAATGAAGTCACACTACGCGCGATAACTGTTTTAACGTTCGATTGGAATGAGAGAGCGGCATATATTGGCATATATTTCTGAAATCAAAATAATCTTTTTTGTTGTAATTGGGAAACAAACTCACAAAATAAATACTAACATCGAAATCAGTTTCTTAAATATTTTAAATGTCTAAATATTTATAAGATAATATCGAATTACTTCCAATACGGAAACTGTGGAAAACCTTAAACACTGTTTCGGGGCATAGTGAACATTTCAAGAGCATTGCATTTACCAATCAAATCATAAAAATAAACGTCTGTAAGCAATGAAAATGACAGACAATTCTGAAGGATTCCCGAATCATCACAATATTTGCATTTGTGTCAGGATTGTCAAAAATATGAACTAGCATTTCGTGACGTGTATGACCCCAAACATTTTACAACTCACGAAAGAGTCTTCAGAAGAACGTTTTACCAACAACAAATATTAAGTTCTTACAAATATTTAAAAAAAACAACAACTTTCAAATGATTAATTCGAATCTACTCTTCATACTAGCAATTATCGAAAAAAATAATTATAAAATGCTCCGCAAGTACATCCAAAATAACGTTTGTTGGTAACAAAAATTAACAACCTGCATACAATAAAAATAAATAAAATTTATTGCAAAACACTGTTCAAAAAGGGCAATTACATACTTAAATCTCAAGATTGTGTTACTTAATCACTTCGGGAGTATCGGGAAACGAAGCCCGGTCTGCCACACGCCGCGCCGCCTTCACCACCACTGCACTTTTGTGTCGGTCGCCACCGGCGTTTGTTTCCGCTGGTTGTCGACCTCTTTTGTTGCCGAAGCGCGTTGAATGCGGCGGCGTTTCGAATCCTATCTGCCGGTTCGTGCCAAAAAAAAAAAAAATCTCACGACTAAAATCACCGACACTTTATACTGAGAACTGCGGTTTTGGGAAATGTCCGCGAAAATGCCATCAACAGCTTTCACAACTTGAGTCTTGCTGCTTGCAACGATCGACGCGGTTTTTAGTCGATTCGCATCAACAAATGATTCCGATGAATTCGATTTGAAATCTCCTACACTTTATAGTAAAAACTATTTATGAAAAAAATGTCTGAAAAGCTATCGCATGCCGGCAAAATGCTACATTTTCTTCTATAATTGCTGTCCTTAGAACTTTGTCGGTTGAAATAACCGCCGCTGGCGTGTTCCCGCCGACGTCAATCTTCTTGCTAATAAGAAACGACTTCGGTGTTTGTTTTCGCATGTTGTTTTGCTTTTATTCTTGCCCATCACAACACCGACACCAACGTTTCTTTTCCTCATTACCGGTACGCGCCAGTATTTTTTCTCGGCGAATTAAATTCCAATCAACAACATATCATATCGAGAGTTGGTAATAACCGAAAAAGCTAAAACGATCTCGCAAAATGCCACAATTACCGCCACAAAACTGCTCTGCCTCTATTCTTGGTGTTTGCAACGTCGGCGTCAATTCCAAAACCCCTATTTCACGCCATTTTTCGACGAATTAAATTCGAAACTATTAGTGCAGTTCAACATCAAACTGCTTTTGACGGAAATGCTAACCCGACATGTCACAATTCCCGCCAGGAAGCTCTCCCGCCTCTAGCACAAGATGACGCCGATTTTCCCGCCTCTACTCTTGTCGCTCGCAACAATCGC